AGTAGGATTGAAAACAGCACTAAGTGACACATTTTTTGTTAAAGTGACCCCATCAGAAGTGTATAACTAGTTTCCCAGCAAGCACTGCCTCAGTGCACACATAATCTATTTTGCCTTGCTCTGATCTTGTCCTAGTATGTGTTTCTCATCAGCAGAGGCCCCTGGCACACCACAAACAAACCTCAGAGGTAATTAGTACGACTTTCTCAGATGCTTTAGCATCTGCTAGTGGAGGAGCTTGCACTCTGCGAAGGCGTTGAAGTAACTGACTTGGTCGACCTGCCCTGCCAGGTGGACTCATTCGACGAGCCAGATGCTTTATTCACTTGCTGTCTTGCGAGCTCGCATAGTATTTTGATCAGCTACCACCTCCTCTCTCTGCCTCTGTCATTTAACTGGATTTCTCATGTCTTCCATCCCTGGCTTGCTCCACTCTTTTGCCCGTTCACTCAATAAATCTTTACATCTTATAGTTCTCCACTCCTCTTCATGTCTCAGGTCTGTTGATCTGCTGTTTGCCCGAGTGTTATGTCCAGTAAAATTCCCAGGGCTAACAGAGCTGCAAACACCACCTTTGACTCTGGCAAGAACTGATGATTTTAACTCCCACAGCACATCAAATAAAACCAGTGTGGTGGTATGTACGGTATAGGAGCCAGGATATATATATATATATATATATAATATAAATATAGTGTGGGGCAGCAAACACCATTTTGGAAGTAATCATCAATATTAAGATTAAGCGAGTGTACACAAACTAATGGGGTGTTAATTGGTACAACTAGTTTTAACATTATTCATAACTCAAAGAGGCAAAGCATAAAGAATTGAAGATGTAATCCAATATAACTCATAGTATATTTAATGGGAACTCCACTGATTTTACCTTTAATTACCTAATATGACACATGTACCTTTACTAAAAGGGAATGACTATTAGAGTAGAGATAACATTTAATCACTAATATCCATAGAGATCCAGGGGTATTCTTTTGCTTCTCTAAACTCACATATTGGTCCTGTTACCTGACTGTAATTGGAAAAATAAAGACAGAACATACAAAGACAGAATCACGCAGGGGAATGGAAAGGCATGGGATGGCTAAAATATACATTAGGAGTGAGATAAAATTTATTAATTAAAGCCCTTAACTGCTAAACCATTCCTTCAGTATTTCTAACCTCCCCTCTCCCCTAATAACTTTTGTGCAGACCCTAATATATTACTTTACCGTTTCCACATACATAGACTAAGCATTTGATGATGTTTTTGTCCAATCCATTACAAGTATCAGTCAATCGTCTCTTTGACACAGATTTATACCTGTAAGAACATTCTATCTATACACTCATTTGCTACCCCTTCACCTCAACCTTTAAAGCAAAATTTGGCACCTTTTATGTGGATGATCAGACAAGGTGACAGTAAATGTAGTAAATTGAAGCAATAAATTCCACACGTTCTCCTGACCGTGGAGACATGCAGGCAGCGCCTACATGTACCGGGGCGCATTGTATGCGAGCTTCTGACGCCCACGCCCACCCCAGCGTGCCACTACAGCTCTTACCAAGCTAGCTGCTGGGTGCTAATCAAAGCTACACAACGTTGTCGAACAAATCAATTTCTGCATTTGTCCATTTCTCTTTCACACATAGCTATACAGTTACCATCTTGGTATGTCTATCAAGTAAATTTACATATAGACGCAAAACACACATTTTCTGTTGGCATCGGAGAGCAATTTGAGCAATGGGGGCCCGTGTTCGCTCTCAGCAACTCGGGTCCTGGAGGGTCCCCACTGGCCATATCCTCTTACACGGCTGACTCTGCTACATTTCTTCGGGCGTATACTGTGACTCAGATAAATACGGCTAAACATATCAGAGTCAGACAAAAAAATTGTCTAGTGTATTTTCGACCATAACTGCACTCATGTTGGGATGCCATTTTTGCAGCCGAAAATGTAGCTAGTTTACAATACAAGCAAAGAGAAGTAGCCTGTGGTTCTTCAGTGCCTGAAATATGTCACTGTCACATCAAATGACAGAGCCGGATGCTGGAAGAACTACTTTTTCGGTCCATACAGCCAACACTAAGGAATTAATTGCTTCAATTGACTGCATTTACCATCAACACTGATTGGATATCCAGATAAAACTTGCCAGATTTTTTTCCCATTAACCTCCACATTCGATACCTAACCCTAGCCCTTTGCACTGATTCATCTGCAACTTTGTTAACCTCTAATGTTCTTTGTCCACAACATAACACCTCAAATGAAAATGACCCTTTTCTTAACAATTTTTTCTTGGTTTTCTACGATGATGAGAAGATTTGGAATTTCACATCCCCACGCTAAAGCTGCAGGACAGGGACTTTAACTCACCAACTGCAGAAACCTTAGGCTCTTTACCTGCTTGTGCTTCATTATACATTGTTGTACCATTCTACCGTTCTCTTTTGCATGCACGTCAAGCTTAATGTTTGGCAGTATTGTTCTGCAAATCTGTGCTCCTTGTAGAACACGCTGAGTAGGATCCAGGCCTCATTTCTGCATAGCAAGCAGCAGTATTCTCAATAAACTATCATCTTTCAAAACTAGTTTCCCAATTATGCCTTTGGGTCGTTCCACTAGGCTGGTGAAGTGGATTTAGAAACTGAAGATGAACTGAAATTAATGCAACTTGGAAATAGCCTTTCTTTTTTTTACACAAGACAGAGAGAGAAGCACTTATCTGGGCTGGGTTGTTTAGTGTTGCTCAATGGATAAACACATGGCACTGGCACTGGCAGAACAAAAGCACTCATTATCCATTTCCCGCTGGAGAAATCCCCACATGCTAAAACCGCAGACGGTCCCAACATTGGATGGAAAGAATCCACCAAATGTCAAACGCTGGTGCAAAAATAACAAAACAGTTTTGTTCTGGCTTCAACAATCAGCCAGCAATAGTCCATCTAACAACAGCAGATGCACTGTGTGCAGCCCCCAGGTGCACCAGTGGCAATGAGAAATAGAACCTGATTAATTATCAGTTTAAGTGTGATCTCCACTGTCTGATTCCCAGGTTGCCTTCATGTGCTCTGCGGAGAATAGCCTAGTTGGCTTGCTGGATAATGTTAGCAAGTGAACTGTTGGCAAGCAAAACTTATAGCACGGATCATAACGATTCAGCTGAAACAATAGGATGTACTGTAAAATGTTACATATGTGGGCTTTTGCTTCACTTTTTCACTTTTGTTACTGCGTGAAAGCATTCCATGTAAAGCTGGCCAGCAGGTGACATTTAGTGGGTTTTATTTTAATTTAAAGACATTCACGACTAAGATTTCACCTGTAATAATGTAACTTTAGGAAGCTCTATTCTAATTTACTCATTTTCAACTGCAACAATGTTCTGAGATAAACAAGAGGCTTTAAGTATATTTTTCGATCGTATGTTATCGATTAATCGACTAACAGTAAAAGTGAACTGAAACACAAGACTTAACATGTTTACTAACATATAACTGAAACCACATCCAATTCCTGCTCTCTGTATGTCCGCCATCTGTCCCCACCACCTCTGTGCGACTTACGGTGGTAACATGACGAGGGCACTTCCTTCGCTGGAAAAAAAAACCCTCGTCACTAAATACAACCTGGGCAGAAATTACTCTTCTCACAAAAGATATTCGTCAAAAGAAATGAGTAGTGTATAAATTTAATTTCTAGGAGACACGATTGCTTTGGTGATGTCTTGAAATATCAATCACAGGGCAGAGCACGGGCTAGAAAGTCAAAGCCAGATGAAGAAATGATTGATTCACTAGTATTGGACAACACTCGCCCCCACACACAGATACACCTCCCACCCGAAAAATAATGATCATTTACCAAATATGGTGCAGTAGATCTGGTCAGTAAGGAACAGATACTGATATAAATGATTGACTTGATGGTGTACACATATACAGGTTGAGGTGTAAACTGCTGCATCCCTGACTGACCTGAATTTGACTCCTCGTGACCACAGTGCTTTAGTGACTGTATAGTTGTAAAAGCACATAGGTCCACCAGCCGCCATCTCTAATAAAAGGCATAACAGTTACACCTACACAGGATATGGCACATGGAACGTGTCAGAGCAGAGGTGTTGATCTGGAATCAGTGATTGCTTCTCGCAGGTTTTCAAAAGGTTTTCTGGCTCCAAACCAAATTACCAACAACTTCCACCTGAGCAGGTCGTTAAGTCTGGTGCTGGAGTCCTAAAATCCAATTCTTTCTGTGAAAAGAATTGAAAACGTGGCCAGACAGCGTCGCTCGCCAATGTGGGTCACCGTCGGCTGGTATTTTAGGACACAATAGCCTGAAGTTACTTTCCCGCATGTGGGCAACACGGGCCAAACAGCATCCAGCTCGCAAATTAGCAAATCCAATCAGAGTTCCCTGATAGCTGGCTGCTCAGGGCCTCCTGGGAGGGCGCTCCTGAAACTCTGTTAACTACGGCTTGAGAGGTTAACAAGCAGAGCAAAGTGAGAGCTAGAGAGGCTGTCAGTTTCAAAGGATACTCCAACATTACCAGCGCATGTTGCCCTTACTCTTTGTTTTGCATGTGCATTGTATGTGGACTGTATTGATTGTAAAACCAATGCTGCAGCAGAGCATCACCATTGTTGGAAAACAGGAGCAGAAAGCTGTATTATTTTTATTCATTTAATTTTTTAACACCCATAGGCTACGCATTCTGAGTATGTAAGGTAACACTGCACTGGCAGCGCAGACAAAGACGTTTTATTGCTTACAGGAAACCCAGCCCATCCATCTCAGCATCACAATAATGGCCTGAAAGGAAAAACTGGATTTATATCAGCACTTCTTACAACAGCAAGTAAGCAAGGGAATCATGTTGTATGAGGGCCGATATACATTTCTGTAGACAGAGGCAAGGCTGCATGCATTATGGGGCCCAGTAAAAACAGAGAAACATTGTTTATGTGATGAAGATTCACTCACCATGTTGACTTCTGACACCATGTCTATGCTGGCCACGTCTATGCTCATCCCCACTGCAACAGGGGCCCCTGGAAGAGGTTAAACAGCAGAATATGGATATAGGCCTACTCCTCCACACCTGACCACAACACTGTGAATGGCGCCAAAAATAAAGCTGCCTGCCTACAGCGTGAAGGGAAATTAAAGGGGGGGTATAAATACGACACATACCTCCAAAGTCCGGCCTCAGTCGGATATCATATCCCTTCAGTAGTTTATCCACCGTCTCCTTCACGAAAGACATGTTGCCCGGTTCGTTGACGCTAAAATGACAGCAAAAAAAAAAACAAGAGAAAAAACCACCACCTTGACTCCTGTATCAATCAGACGGGGCAATAACCTTGACTTCACCAAATGACAAAAGCCACTCACCTTTTCGCGCAACACACAATCGAACCGACAACCAGCGCGGACAAGACGCGAAATTGACGAACCCTGTGCAAGGCAAACATCACCCTTTCCTCTTTTCCCCCCCTCTTCTCTCGTTGTTTACAACCACAGCAACAGCAAAGAGCCCCCCAATCAACAGTCGAGACGGTTCCGGACGCTCTCCAAATCAGAGTACATCCATTGATTGCCCAAAAGGAGAAAGTCGCTTGAGGAGGGGGGTAAAAGTCAGCAGCTTGCTGTGGAGGGAGTCAGATATGAAATATGCGCTGACATCGCCTCCCCGGCGTGAATACTGGCTCCGCTCTTCTTTGCCGTCTCTGACTGTGCAATAAGAGGCTCTTACATTCAGGAGCTGAAGCGCATATTGATGAGGAGGGTGTACAGGGATGCTGCTGCTGCTGCTGGTGGCGGTGAAGGCACTCGGCTTGTTCAAATGAGAGACGAAGCCCAACACTTACACACTGTAAAAAAAAATACCCACCAGTAGCTGCAGTATAGTCTAGGTATTCTGGGTTTTTATTTTTAGTCTAATTTTTTTATTTTTTTTTGGATATGTCTAAACTTAGATAAGTGTCAAGCTCAGTTTCCTTTTCTTTATAATGCAAATCAACTTCTTTATAATCCTTGAACTGTTCCTACCTGATCATTTTTAAAATTAAACTGCCATTGAAGTCCTCTGTTTTATTTTAAGGATGTGTGTGTGTGTGTGTGTGTGTGTGTGTGTGTGTGTGTATGTGTGTGTGAGTGTGTTTGAAGGGCCACTCCAGCGATCTAGCAATGCACTTTTCATTAAGTTGTGGGACTCACAAGAGGCTTTAAAAAAAGAAGGGAAATCAAAGCAGCAGAGGCAGATATCCTGTCTTTTAGTCCTGTCAAGCTCTGAAAATACTGGATCCTACAATTCCAATAATGCAACTCAGAGCATCTTCTCATTAGACTCTCACTGAATAGTAAATGCCCATGTCTCCACATTTCACATTTGAAACACAAAGTCTCAAGCCCAGTTAAAGATGACCCCGATGACATCATCAGGGTTATTTTTGATGACATCATCTGGGTTATTTTCTCAGACTTTAAGGAGCACCCCTTTGGAGCCCAAGAGAACGTTACACAACTGTTTCACAGGCTGAGTGGTACTCCCCATGACAGCTTTATGAGTAAAACTACTAAAGGTGAGAAAAGTTTACTTCTGTATGGGACACATATTATTTAAAGATGTTAATTAATTTGTTTCCATTTAGGCTAAATCATTAGTGTAGGTAATTTGAATATCCCCAGTTTGCCATGGAATTTTTTGGGCTTGAAAGATACTGAAACAGGCATAAAAAAATCAGAATAGATTTTTAAACTAAACACATTAAATATTTTAGGACTCAATATTAGGCTACACCAAATTGCCTCGTTGAAATAGACATTTTTTACAGTGCTCTTCACACCATCCACGCCAATCCCCTTCCCCCGTGTTTCCCATAAAAATGGCGGGACCATAACGGTATAGGAGGGACAGACCGCATTTATCAACCTATTAATCGATTGTTGTTATTGATCAGCCTGTTAAACGCCTATCCTGGTCTCTTTTTCCTTATCTAATATCTAGGGCTCCACCATAAATTATTTAGGTTGAGAAATTCCGTGCCTAATTAGGGACCGTGTGCGTGCGTGCGTGCCCGCGTGACAAAACACAGTTGGAGTTCCTCATTAATAAAAACGATGAATGTGTTGTTGTGACATTTCCTACCTCGTGTCATAGATGGCGAACAACTTCTTGTTTCCGTCAACAGCATTCCTGAAAGAAAAAGGGGTTGATGACATCATTAATGATAAAGAAGCTTTGAGCCAATGAAAACATGAAAAGGCATGTGATTATTCATGGCCATTCTATCACAGCCATTACATACATAACATAAAAAAAACACATATTATCAGGAAAGATTTAGTTTTGTTTATAAGACACCCTTTCTGAGCTTCAAATTTTCTCACTTTTGAATTTATTTTTCAGATTAGCCCTCAGAGGGTTTTTTTTTTGTTGTTGTTGTTGGTTTGACCCTCCCTGTTTTTTGTGCGACTGGATTTATCTGTGTAGCTTCAGGGTCTACCCAGGTCTGTAGCCAACAGTAAAGCAGGGATTTAAATACCTGCAGGGCAAATATTGAAAGGCAGTCGATTTCCTTCGTGAGAGCCCCTCACCCCGGTATTTGACCTGGGAATGAGAACGGGTTGCAGCCACACACACACGCAAATCTGTTTTTTCACACGTATCAAATCGGTCATCACTCTGCAGGAGCTGTCCGCACCAGGCCTGATGCTGAAATCTGCCTCCCGAGGGGGACTGGCTGCTGTTTCTTACATTTCCTGGCTGCAGCTCTCGTTCGCGTACTGCATCTCCAGACTGGTTTTAAAAAGTGGAGGGAGGTTAAACATCAGACACCAATTACCTCCTATGAAACATGGTACTCGGCTACCCTCTTATGGCAACCGTCAGGATGATAACAACTTCGGTTTGAGACTTTGTGGAGGAGGACTTGAATGGGAATAGTTGCTCTGACGGCGCCTACAGTAGGCAAATTCATGACAAGATAGGCTAAGGATAAGTTTCTTGTCACACACGCACCAAAACGGGTCAGCAACCTCCTTAACAGCAGAAGAGAGCGAATATTTGTGTGAACTCTAAACATCTGGCTAAAAGTAGGCTATTAAACAAGTGACTGAAACAGCTAAAAGTAATCGATAAATATATGAAATAGTTAAGTAATGAGTAACTTGTTGAAATAGTCGGCCTGTAGCCTAATCGATGCACAGCTGAAAGTAGCTCAAAGTAACGGATGACTAGTGGAAAGCGTTCTTTACTTGAAAACCTTGATTGTGTTAACATCTGACCCCACCCAACTCCCAAGTTACACTGCCAGTGCCTCCTCCTCCCAGCCCACCAATGGGGAGCACCTATTATAAAATGATTAGCCTCTGTTGCAGCTCTTCATTCTCTCGCACCGGCAGTAGGCGGTAAAGCAAAAGAGACGGGGGGAAATGTGGAGTGAATTCAGTCTCCTAGGGGCCAGCTCGTGTGATGCTGCTGCTGCCGCTGCAACACCTCTGGGGGCGATCCAGGAGACGCGGTGCAGCAGGCACCGAAGGAGGGAGGCAGTGTAGCCTATGAGGAAAGCACCAGACAGACTACTACAACAGCGCCTGATGGGGAACCGCTGAGAGAGAGAGAGAGAGAGAGAGAGAGAGAGAGAGAGCGCGCAAAAACAGCCCATGGTGGAGAAACTGAGGATAGGAAGGAAGGGAGCCAACCGACAGGCACGGGGATTAGGTGATTGAACCCGTGATCGTCCAGTTTCAACAACGCCGACGGAGACCCCCCCACCCCCCCCCCCCACCCCCCAAGCCTTCAGCCGCTGTTTGGGGAAAACGCCAAAGAATTAAACCTTGGTGGATCTGCATTCAGGTAGAGCCCCCCTATTCCTCCAAACCCCTCTGTCTTTTTAGGCACAGCATGGCAAATAGGAATAGGAATTCATGTTTTTGGTGATGAAGAGTGGAGGAAAAAGGTGATGGTCGAGGACAGGAGTGAAGGGAGAAGAGAAGGAAAGTGGGGGTGGGGGGTGTATGAATTCTGATGCGCTGGATTCAAACGCAATGGAAGCTTTACACAATGGGGATCATACGTCTTTTCTTCATGAGCGTGGAGATTGTGAGGTAGATGCTTTGTTTGTTGATGAGTTGCAGATCGCAGCCTCCTTAGGCAGAGTGTCCCGCTTGATTGAGTGATTCCTGTAATGTTCTGCCTCTGTATGCAGCGGTGTGAAGAGTTTCTTTGTGCGAGTTGGGGCGCCTTATCCGGATTGCTAGACCTAATAGTATTATATTAAGAGGAAACTGAAAAATCATTCTTTATATAGCGGCTGTGATATCTGGCGATTTTTTGATGCAATTCTGTTCTTTTTTCTCTCTCTCTTTGTAACCTGTATGTGGATGTGCGTTACAGCTCTAAACAACAAAGTGAGCAGAATTTCAGGCATGGCCAGGCTCGCGCTTACCCTCCTGCTCCTGTGTGGATGCCAAAATAGGTAAACTAAGAGCTGAACATATGTGGGACACTTGCTGAAAGCCTTTTGAACATTTAGAAAAAAAGTCCAGTTGTTAACAAATTGTGAAGCTTTAAAGTGGAATGCCATTTACCCACTAAATAAAGATATTTAAACAATATAACTTTGCTACTCTTATTATAAAAGCAAACTCTTGCTGAGGATTCCTGGCAGCTCTGCCCTCCCCTCTGATTGATTGCATATCCCAGCTGCACTCTGCTGCAGCACTGCTTAAGTGGCTGTCCTGCACTCAAGACAAGCAAAAAAAAAAGATCTTCTGGCAATACTGTCAGTAAATCACTGGAATTGTCCACTGACTCCACTCTCATCTGAGTAGATGAATGGCTTTTAGATCACATGTTCAGTCCAGCTTGGAACCTTGTCCTCTGTGTCCCTCCCTGGTAATTCCTGTCTGTGAACACAGTGTTCTTTATAAAAAAAAAAAACACTTTAAATATAATCAGGAGTGTACTTTCCTCATTTTCTCACCACAGAAAATGGGCTCATCCTCAAGAGATAATGCCTTGCTTCTTGCCATATTTAGAGAGGGAGCTCATTTGTTTGTATTTGGATCACATGTCAAAGCCTTAATTATCTCTACTGGTAGTTGTAAGCAGTGCTTATGTTCAATAATTAATCACAACAAGCCTGTCCTTAATACCACAAGCTTATTAATCACAATAACCATGTCACGGTTGCTGCCGTGCAGTTTTAACTAACGCCAGGACATTGCTTTCTCTTTACTCGTCTCGTTGTTTCCTCTCCTCTCCTAGTCTCAGCCTGTCCTCCTCAGAGGCTCAGAAGGAGACGGCCGGCAACGACAACAGCACAGTTTTCACCAGGATCCTGGATGGGCTGCTTGACGGTTATGACAACAGGCTCCGGCCGGGGCTTGGAGGTTTGCTGGGGACCCCTTTTATTCTTGTTCCTCTTCTTTCATTTTTTTAAGCAACATTCAGCGCCGCCTTCTTTGAAAACAAGACAGCAATCTCACATTCTAATGTCACATTGCCACAGTCCATTCTCCCAGATTGCTAACCTCACCTGCTAACCTGGACTCTAAACTGTGGGAGGCTCAGTTTCCAGCTGCCATTTCACGCACTGATTCATGGGAAAACGTTGGAACACTGGTAGACACAGGGATAGAAACCGTGTGAGCAGATGGTAAATTTTGCTCCCATGTCAGCTAAGGTGAACTCACACACGCATTGTCAGATGCCGTGGCGAGGATCGTGAATGCATACGTTCTTCTCCTGTACGTAGTACATGGTAGAAAGAGTAAATCAGTCAAGCAGTCTCCAGCACAGCCTGAATTCAGTGTGCTGGTGTTGTGT